ATAAGACACATTAAAAGAAAGATAACTAACAAAAACTTATTATTATGCTGGTACCATAAATATGAAGGAAAAAAACTATAAGTGATATAGTAATTGTACAGGGCATAGTTTGATCTCTGGAGGAGCAATGCTTTCAGTGCTCGATGCACTTCCTTTCTTTTCTTGATCCTCATCGGTTAGTTTTGAGAGCTCAAGTTTCAGGTCACATATTCGTTTCTGGAGCTTCTGGATGTAATCGATCGCATCAACAAGGGTTGATTCCTTGCTCATCTGAAAACAAGAATTAAATAGCTCACCAAAAATATTAACCAATGACATAAATCATACAATAAACCAGGGTAATTAAAGTGCTGCTCCACCATTGCATGACCATCACTCATGCCATTTAGTACTAAGGATAACATATAAATAGTGATATAGTTTTGTTCGCACATGAACAGTTCGAAGACAAACACAAGTCACTATCATAGGCATAATTCATACAAAAGCGTATCATATATGAAGAGAGAGGGTAAAGAGAATCATGAAATGAAAATCCTCAGATACATATACCTGTGGTTAGACACTTTGTTTACCACAACTAACTAGCTAAAATGAGCTAACTCTGTTATTAGGATCTCTTAATAATATAAAGGGCCACAAAACAAACACATCACAGAATATAAAGGAAGACTCTTGGAATTAATCTACAGCATTTCCTTAAAAATATGCAAAATTCGCGATGACACGACGATGAGGTATCACCTAACCATCTTTCTGAGTTCACTTTTCATTGCTCCCTAACAAAAAGAATCGTAAGACGGTCACTAGAAAAGAATCGATAGAAGTTTGGAGAAGGGGTAATTTGCCTTTGTGATGTTAGGGACCAACGATCTGAGAGTAAAGAGCCTATTATTGAGCTTGCTCCTCCTCCTCCTCTCTGCCTCGAGGTTCTTCGACCGATACCTTGCCTCCCCTGTGTCTGCCACAATCGCCGGATCTCCAAACCCCTCTCCTCCTCCTCCTCCTCCTCCTGCCTCCTCCTCCTCCACCACCGTAGCCATCGCAGCAGTCGAGTCTACAAAGTCCATTGCATCAAAATCCGCTCCACAATCTCTCGGATAACGAGGCATCACAATCAAAATGAAGCTAAACAACCGATATTTGAGAAGAAAGGGCTTGATTTTATAATTGCTAGAATATGCATGTGTTTTCTGAAGGTGTACTATTATTCCCTTCCTTTTTTGTGTTGGGGTGCCGGAATCAAATCCGAGGGAAAACGAAATGCCGTTGGTGTTAGTTAGTTTTGCCCGTTCTGATACGCCTTAACCTCTGTATACGTTATCACGTGCCAACAAATAATGCGAAGACTGCAGACTAGATACCCAATAGAGATAGGCTAGTGGATCAAGCTTAAATGGTATTTAAATTTTTGTGGAAGGACAACGGAACAGTTAGCTTGTTCCCGCAGAAAAAGTTAGTTGTCGCGCTTTGACCAATGAGAAAAGGCTCCATCTTTATAACGGGCTAACGGTATACTTGCAAAACTAATCCGGACCCGGATTGTTGACTCATTAAGCGGGTAAGATCCAATTTAGTGACTTGAACCGAAACCAGTACCCCATTTCCCCATTTCTCTTCCCCCAAAAATTAAACCCTCGGCGTTCGACTCGTTCCTCAGGTTGGGAAATTTCATTCTCTTGGCGTAAAAGATTCAATTTTGTTTGTTTATATGAATATATGATCCTTGAATTGAAATGGGTCTTTTGTTTTTTTTTCCCCGGGCAGAATTTGGTAAAAAAAAATACCCCTCGATTTCAATGGAGCTTGCAGATAAAGCAGTCGGGCTTCTTCTAACTTCCATTAGCATCTCAATTTTCACTTACTACACTTTCTGGGTCATCATTTTGGTGAGTTTTTTGGACACCCATTTGTCCAATTTAATGTTTTTAATGATTTTTGAGATACCCAACTTGTTGATTTTCGTCCCCCCCAACTTGTGCAGCCATTCGTGGATCAGGATCATTTCATTCACAGGTACTTTCTACCCCAAGAGTTTGCTATCTTGATACCGGTGTTTGCCGGCGTCGCGCTTCTCAGTTTCTTGTGTGTCTTTGTTGGCTATGTCATGCTCAAATCTAAGAAGAAGAAGAAAGCTGCTTGATTCAAATTTAATGATGAAACGTGAGGGATCCTTGCTTTAATTTGTCTGGTACTTTCAGTTAGATTGAATGCGTTTGACTTGGACCACTATGTGCTGCTGTTTTACTTGAATGTTATACATGAAAGTTCTACTTATTTGGAAGTTATGATCTCCATTTTAGTTAGAAAATTCGTTTTCCCCCCCTCCCTTTTTGTAACTTTGATGAAATTTTAATCCTATCGCAAACACAAAAGTTAATAATTTTCAGTCTCGTGACTTTTTTATATCCCCACTGTTCATCCAGACATTTTCAACATAGGCGAGCAGATCAAGTTTCACCAAATTATAATGAATATATAACTGAACTTGCAGAAAATTCGTAAAGCGAAACACAATTACATGTAACATAGCTTTGAGGGAATTAGACTATTACACAATGGAAATAAGCAAGTAGTATCAATCTTGTGTAGTATCCAATACATGATGGAGAAATTGAGAAAACTTATATCATGCCTGATGCGAAACGGGAAATGGGGTCTATCAGAATCAGCGATTTAAATCGAATAACACACTGTCTCGCCAAAATTCATAATCTTTGGCAGGAAATTAAATTTAAAACAACTAATGTGACCGATGGATTTTAATAAGATTTGCATCAATAATCATGAATAATTCCAATCTCAAGCAACATAACCGCTATATTCATTATCATTGGGCAAGTTCTACAATCAATATTAATTGTTTAACAGTCACAAATTCAGTTACTCTCAACTCACAAATTTAATCAAGCAGTGAATATATGATAAGAGCTTAGAGATGATATTCCCATGCAATTAACTAATAAAAATGAGTTCGACAGAAAAATAATAAGATAGTGAAACCTTCGTCGGTCTGAACAGACTCGACGTGAGGAACCTCCGGAGGTGGTACGACGGCGAACTAGATGACGAGGGCGTGTGGACTGAGCGGCTGCGGAACACAATTCAAATCGGCGACGAAAGATCGTGGGTTGGAAGAAGTTTGACGATTATGAAGTTGAGGATTCCAACCCTCTTCAAGTGAACCCACGAAACCCTTCTGTAACTTGGATTTGCAAGACAAATTAAAGAATCAATTACTTGATTGAGAGTGTTCGCATCATCTGCACCAACGAGTTCAGAATAGGACATGACATCTGCACTTTGACCCACTTCACATTTAACCAAGTGGAAGATCCCCAGCTTCGTCAATAATATTTAAAGCTTCGTTAATTAAAGGCTGATCAAACAAATGGCCACTGAGAGATACCAGTGTACTACACTTCCTGCTGCTAGATGACACATTCACAAGATTTGTTTGTGGTTTTTTTGTGGGGTTGTTCGGCATGGAAGGAGAGCAGGAGGGAGAGAACGTTAGGGCTGACGGATGCAAGGAGGGGGAGGAGCGATCGGTGGAGAGTAAGATAACCAGGGACGATTAGGGTTTCTTAGGTAGAGGAAGAGGAGGGCAGGGGCTGGACTTGGGTTAGGAGATGGGACGGAGAAGGGCAGGGTGTGGGTTTGTTCGGATCTGGAGGGAGAGGAGGACATGGTGTTGATGGTTGTTGTGGCAGAGGAGGGGTGAGCGGTGGGTTGGGGCGCGACTGCAAAGAGAGGAGTTGGAGGGAGGAGATCTGGCGGCGGGGTTTAGGGGCTGATAAAGAGGATGCGGGCATGGGTTTGGGTGGCGGTTCGGCTGTTTGTGGAGGTGGAAGTGGGGAGGCGCTGAGCTCGGAGGTTGAAGAAGATGAAATAGGGATAGGCGGTTGATGGAGTAAGAGGAGTTGTTGTTGTTGTTGTCGTTGTGAGTCGAGAGGGAAGAGAGAGTGGTGGCTGGAGAAAGAAGAGAATGAACAGTGTTAGCCTAGGGTTTCACACCCTTCATGGTTTCACACCAATTGATTAAGCTAACACAATAATTCATTTCATTCATTAATTCTTCATTTTTTTCATGATTACAGCAGGGTTTATAAAGAGAGAAAATATTACAGATTTGCAAATCTCACATAATCAAATCTCTCACAAAATCAAATCCCTCAAATCTCTCACAATTATTAACTACCAAATCTCACCTACAATTCGAAATTCAAATCTACTACTAAAACAAAAGTCAAATAGCAAATATGAAAGCTTGCCCTCATCATTCTCCCAGATGGGAGAAACTCGACTACGTCGAGTTAGCTGCAGAAACCTGTCATTTTCAATATACTCTGTTTGCATCTTAATCTGTCATCAGTTACTTTCATGCATCTCAAATCATTAGCTAAATTGCATTGTAAATTCACCATCTAAAATATTATTAAAATTCACTGTTGTATGGACGAATATATAGAAGTAGGGTAAGGTGAAAGAACTCTCAGAAATAATAGGCTAGGGTCATATAGAAGAGGGCCGAATGGAGAATGGAGAAGCCACAAAATGCATTAACCTGGATCTGCCAACAACTAGTCGATATTCTTCCCTCCATTTACAGTCTTAAATGAGGTACTAATTTGGCCAATCTGATAATTTGCATAATTCAAATCATAATTAAATTAAGGATATGATTGATCCTGATTCATTTGATGATTCATGATCCAGCCGCTCATAGCAAAACCCAAACCGTTCCAGAGATATGGTTGATCTTGGTTTCTTCCATCTTAGGATTATCAGAATTTGTAATGTGTGACCGGTTGTAATAGTACAAAAATGCAAATTTGGTTAGATTCTCTCTCTATTTGCATCTTCGCCCTCTCTTCAAATCCAGCCATAGTATCATATGAAGGCCTATTCAAAGTCTCTGGCAAGTAAAACGCCAACACACCGTTCACAACTCCACAATCCCCGAACACGGAGAACACCACCTTCCCTCCCGTCACCACCACCAACGGCGCCACCACTGCTCACATCTGCACTGCTTGCTGCACGATGCCGAGCGCCGAGTTCCTCACCTCTACTGGAAACATCTCAGCTCTACACCATCAACAAGTTAAAAGCTGCCACCATCCCAAATATTCCAACTATCCCCCGCATACTGTCGTCCCCAAGCCCTCGCTACCCATCAAGCTCTGGCGATGCAGAATCCTACACCGAGCCACATCGTGCGGATTGTGACAGGTTTTCACCCAAATCGGCTGAGGAATTATGCTGTTATGTAGTAATGCAGTCATTTCGGATGTAGCATTGGTGGCGGTGCTGATGTAGAGATTGGTGCGTAGACTGGTTACGATTAGGCTCAGGCCGTAGTACACTACTGAGCACAAGAAGTTGATGGTGATTGCTAGAGCCAGTCGCACACGAATTGTTAGCGGTCTGATTACATCAACGCCTGTTGACGTCGGCACGTTGATTTGTTGGGAATCGGAAATATGGAGCACTAAGGATATGTTATTAGGGAGATGTCAACTGTTCTTCTCTGCGATGGATTGTATGATTTCAAGTGCTTTATGAGGAATGTTGCGTATGAGAACCAACGAGGGGATTCTGAGTTGAAGGGGAGGGTGACGACAAGGAAGAGAAAAGTAGGGATGAATATTGTTAGGAAATTGCTATATTTAGGCCATACTTTGTGGTTTTTTTCACTCTAGTTCTGATCATATGACTAGTCTTTGATTCACATGAAATGTGTCGATCCAGCGCACCTAGTACAAGAGATGGAAATGGTTCTCACATCGGAGAAGGATTCGATTATAAGACTGCTGCCATATGTACTAACTTTTTAGTGATATCTGATACTTGCTATAGAGAAGTTGTGTGCCTAGCTTGTCGATGCTTGTATATGCTATTAACAACGACATAGTATACCGTGCTGTATCAACTCTCTCCTTGAGCCAGTAATTGCACTGCCCTTGCTTAACATTAATTAATTCAGCGTAATTACAAGCAAAGAGTCCGTAAATTACATTTTATACCCTGCCATGTTACATAAACCTTACATGATATCGGACGTCTGTTTTCATCACCATTAGTCATGAAGAGTCTGAATATTCTAAACACTTGTTGTTGAATCCCTGATGTCTAGATAATCTGGCGCATTTAGGTTCTTTCCATGGATTTTCCTTGATCAACAAAAAGAGTTAACATACGATGAAGCGCTTATTCTTTATTAAGCATCCAAGTTGTGTGCAAATGCATGAGGGAATGTAGAGAAGCTGCCGTGATCAAATGAGTCGGGCATTAGCAGAGAGCTTGACGATTGCTGCTGAAGAAAGGTAAGAGTCTATCCAACTCTATACTCAGAATCAAATTGCTGAGTCATTTTAAACATTTAATGCCGTATATAATGCCAATTATCTCTCCATCTGCATTTTCTCCCCCTCTTCCAAGCCAGCCATGGTGTCATACAAAGGCCTATTCAAAGTCTCCGGAAGGGAGAAAGCCAACACCCCATTCACAACCCCACAAACCCCAAACACTGTAAACGCCGCCGTCCCTCCCATCACAACGGTGCCGCCACCGCCCCCATCTGCACGGCCAGCTGCACCATCCCCATCGCCGAGCTCCTCACCTCCGTCGGAAACATCTCCGCCCCATAAACCATCAACAAGTTAAATGCCGCCCCCATTCCAAAAATTCCGACCATCCCACAAATTGTCCTCCCCAAACCCTCGCTCGCCATCAAACTGCCGAACATACAGAACCCGCCGCTCAGCCACATCGTTCCGACCAAAAGAGGTTTTCGACCGAATCGGTCCAAGAACAGCGCTGTGAGTAGGAATGCAGGCATTTCAGATATCGCGTTTGCTGCTGTGCTGATGTAGAGATTGGTGCTGAGATTGGTTACATTCAGGCTCAGGCCGTAGTACACGACCGAGCATAAGAAGTTGATGATGGTTGCTAGAGCCAGTCGTGTACGTGTACTTGGTGATCGGATCACATCGATGATGGTTGCGTTCGGAGCATCGGTTTTTTGTGAATCTGAGTTATCGAGCACTAGGGATATGTTATCAGGGAGATTCCGCCCGTTTCTTTGTGCGATCGATCGTATGATTTCGAGCGCTCTACGGGGATTGTTACGTATGAGGTACCAACGAGGAGATTCTGATACAAAAGGGAGGGCGAAAATGAGGAAGAGGAATGTAGGGATGGATATCGAAATGTAGAGCATCCGCCATGAGCGGACAAAGTAGGCGATGATGGAGAGGACAACGATGGCTCCGGAAAAGAAGTAGAAGAAGGAGAGGCTTGAG